TTAGGCTTCAATTCGGAAGAGGTAAGCCGGGTTATTTCAGCAGTGGGATAATCTCCTCTGTCTGGTCTTGGAAGCTAAGTAGGATCAGCCCTAGTTAGCACTTGGATGGAAGTCTACCAATGAATACCAGGTGCTGTTGGCTGTATTTCAGAGGAAGGAACTGGCAAAACCACCTCTAAGTGTTCCTCACCTAAGAAAACCCTTTCCAATTCTTCCGGTCACCATAAGTCGCCAGGCGACTTGAAGGCACAGTGGGCCTTTGGTATCCTCTGGGGTTTTGGTTCCAAGACCCCCCGTGGATACCAAAATCCCTGGATGCTCAAGTCCTGGTGTCCCTTATTAAAATGGCAAAATCAAGGTTTCCTTTTTGAAATGTATACCCTTTGGGAATATTTTCAAGCCGTGGATGATTGAACCCATGGATAAAAAAAATAAATCCATGGATATGGAGGGCCAACTGTAAAGACACACATAGGAGACTATCACATTATGTTATAAACCAGCTTACATGAGACGGCTTAAAATCAGAAGAGGGTGGCATCCTGATAGTATCAGATGCAGTTAGCCGCCGAAATTACCACCCGGCTGCAGCCCAGCTCCATCACCACTCCAAGAGGCGTTCCTCATGCCTCTTTTCGAAGCTGGGAGTTTTCCAGCTTGAAAAACTAGCTGCTGGAGCATCCCTCTGAGTGGAAATGGAGCCCGGCTGCACCTGGGCAGTGATTTTGGTGGCTAAATGCATCTGATATTATCGGGGTGCTGCCCACTTCTGATTTTATGCTGGTTCAGATAAGACGGTTTATAACATAATGCGATAATTTCCATACACAGAGCATCAGGCTCTTTAAACTAAGCGTACATGCTTCTTTCTGGGCAATTTCATACCCTCCAACTGTCCCAATGTGGCAGTGACCATCGTGATTAATCCACTTGAAATGTTCCCAGTTTCTCTCCCCTCCTCCCATGTTTCCACTTTGTTTTCGGCTTTTCTTCAGTTGCAAGAATGGTTTCCACTCAGCTGATCTGGAGGAGAAGAGCCAGAGTCTTGCCCTTCCCAGTAGACTCAGGCAAAATCAAACTGCTGCAGCTTCTCTAACTCATGTGTTGTTCCTTATTAATAACTTTTCCTGTCTTGACCACACTCTGATGTTACTTGACCACACATGTCCCAGTTTTCAACTGTGAAATGTTGGAGGGTATGTCATTTCCCACCAACATTTGCTGCAACCAGATCAGAAAACCCACCCAAAAGAATAAAGTGGTGGAAATGGCATACGTAAATCCCCTCAAATATTTCAAAGAGCAATTTTCACATCCAATTGTGAAGAAGAGAAGAAAGTGAAGGCCTGCACAAATCACTTTTTCTGGTGACAGAGACCTTAGCCACCAAAGTCATTGTCACAAGATGGCGGTGATGCTTGCCTTCTAAAGCATCGCTGACTATTCTGCCTTCAGGGAAACACTCTCCACGTGCAACACCTGAATGAATCTTCTGAAGCACCAGCCCTTGGCTCTCTATAGCTCTCTGAATTCCACCTGAAAATAGAGCCTGACCCAGCTCCCTTTCCAAACGTTTGTGTGCAAATATTGTGGGAGCATTGTTCAGAAATCGGAATTGAATCAGAATTAAAATCACCTTCCCCCCTCTCTCCGTAACAGCGAACAAGCTACCTTTTTCTTCCACTGATGGTTTCTCAAGCCTTTATTGACAGTTTGCTTATTGAGATGAAGAAGAATCAGTAGGCAGTGTAGTCACCAGCTCCTAAGCTACCAAGGACTTTCTCACACAAGGCAGAAAACTGATATTAAAGCCACTTATTCACTTAATTGGCTGGTACTTATCGCACGATGTTGTGTCTCTCTTGTCGCTGCTTTTCATTCAATTTGTTTCTGTAGTGCACCTTTCCATTGGCAGGTAAAACCCGTCAATGGTTCTTTAATATTGCCGTTATGCCAGTTAGTCCCCCTGGTGCAATAGATCTCTTCCACGATAGTGACAATATGATGGGGCATGATTCTTCTCTTCCCTCCCTCTACCCTCACTATTCCCAAGCAAGCTGTTTCCTTTCCTTTTCTATTTCTTTTCTTTTCTATTTTTTTTAAATTATACGGTATTGCCATAATGGTGCAATTGTGTTAAAAATAAAATAAACCCAAAAAGTGTGCTGGGTTAGGGCACAGGGGAGGAAGATGGGGTTATAAAGGCCACACAGAAGAGAGCACATGGGACCATAGATCACCAAAGCATCACCTTCACACTATTACAGAGACAATGAATGTTCCCAAACGGGTGTGTTTCCACTTCCTTACACTAATGCAATTGCAGCAAGACAGAAGGCTGGTGTGATGAAGTCCCAAGGCTGCAGTAGAGCGCTGTGAAAAATGGAATCCCTATAGACTGAAGTCAAAGACCCTGCAGAATGATTGTGTTGTTATCCCATTTTAATTGCCATGGTTCCATCCGAGGGAATCCTACAATTTGTAGTTTGATGAGGTATTGGAGTGCTCTGGCCAAGAAATCTAAATGTGTTGTTTGTTTTTGTGTGCTTTCAAGTCATGTCTGACCTATGGCAACCCTAAGGCAAAGCTATCATGAGGTTTTCTTGGCAAGATTTGTTCAGAGGAGGTGTGCCATTGCCTTCTCCTGAGGCTGAGAGAGTAGGATTTGCCCAAGGTCGCCCAATGAGTTTCCAAGGCCCCTCCTTAAACTGCTAATCCTAGGATTCCATGGGTCACAACTGTGGCAGCTCAAATGGAATAATAGTGCTATAATTCTGTAGTGTGGATCCAAGCACCCCAGGCCTATCTTGGAGTAATTCAGTCCTGCCTGCCAGCACTTTCTCCTCCTTGGCTTCTTGCCAAACATAAAGGTTAAAGGCTTAACTACTCTTGACATTAAGAGCACCTTTATAAGTGCAGTAAAATCAGCTTCTCCCACCCATCAACCCTTTAATCCTAGCTGGAGATGGGGAACGATTTCCATCAGGACCACAGAATTTGCACTACCATGGAGGAGGTTTGGCATACTGCAGTTGTGTTCATGTGCCTTCAAGTCACCTATCAACTTATGGTGATTGGGTTAACTTATGCAAGGAATACTCAGAGGTGGTTTAGCCAGTTCCTTCCTATGAAATATAACCTACAATTAGCAATAAGTTTTTTT